TTATGCTCTTACCCCCTCCCCGCCATCCAAGAAGTATAACCACACATCACAAGGTAACTCAGTGATCCACTGGGCAGATCTTTGAGCAGCAGCCCATATGGTGAAAGGTTCTGCCATCCTCCTCTAATTAAGAGAACTTCATCAAGAATGCGTAATAATTAGGTTACAGAGCTGCCATCCAGGTCCACAGCGTCTGCCCCGAGGGGCGATTCCAGTGCCTCCTCACCAGCTCGCTAAATGAATGCGTACGTAGCCCACCATGCCATCATCGAAACCAAACCCTGAGAAATCTGTAGAACATTAAGCCACGTTGGAAAAATCTGCAGTGCCTTCATCTGATTTGTACCTTCTCTGGGAGAGAACCACCCACAAATTCTCTAGTCAAACAAAAATGACATTCCATCCACCCAGCCCCCCAGCCTGCAGCACAGTCCCTTCAAGGACGAGTTATACACTGAAGCCAATTTTGGAAAAACTCCCTTTTCTAAGTTCTCCATTCTGATTTAAATTGATCTATTTTTTTAAAATGGTCCACTTACCTTTTGCTTGCTTAGGAAATTAACCACTGATTTTTTTTTTTTTATCCGTAAAGTATGTAGTGATTAAGAAAATGGTTTTCATGTGAATGGCATGTTAAAGGCTTTTGTGCCGTCTGATTTCCGGTGCTCCAGCTGGGTGAACAGAAACAGGTTCTTTGCTGAAGGGTTTGTGGAAGTGGACTAGGGGATTTTGACAATAGCCAGCGCTTGTGGAGTTTCTGCTGCATACCAGGCTCTGGGCTAGGTGTTTACACACATGCTGTCTCATTTAATCCTCACTGCAGCGTTAGGTGGTCGAGGGATCAGAGTGGATTTGAAGGGGTCAATGGCCCTTTATTAGCTGAACAGCATGGCGTGGAGGCTCCCATATTTTAAGCTTTTTTTGACTGGAAGAAGTGCTGGGTCAGACAGAGGGTTTCCCTCCAGCCTGCACTGGGTGACTTAAGCCAACAGCCCACGGTGGTGTGTTTATGGACCTGTTAGGGATGCATTCTGCAGGCAGCCCGAGATGAAACTGATGGTTTCCATCTTCCTCTCACTCCAGGTGTATTTCACATTAATTAATACTGAGTCCCCACCAATTTTATTTATTTATTTATTTTAAGTTTCTGTCTTTGCAACCCTGGAAGAACATTTTTTACTCGGATAAAGTGGTCTGACCTAGGGCAACATTCTGTGTTACTTAACTCCGTTGTGAGTTTCTGGAGCTATTCCAAGACTTCCTCCTCTGTGCAACTAGTTTTTTTATCAAGTTTCTTGAAAAGAGGTCCCACCTACGTAGCTTAAAACAATCTAATAGGCAACACGTAAGCAGATTTTAGGAAGACCAGAAATAACAAGAGTGCTCAAGGAGTAAGTATGTTGGGTGTTCTAAAGGCTGTCTACAAAAACATCTGGTGTCTTTATTTTTTTTTTAATTTTTAATTGTACACTGTATATTTGAATCCCTTCTGTTTTAAAAAATTTTAGACCATGCTAGATAATGCTAAAGTTCACTTTGACCATCACCTCTAATTCCTATCCCTCCTTTGTACCTTCCAGAAGTTACTACTGTTCTGATTCTGGGTACATCCTTTCAGATATTTATAAATATATAAGTACCTGTGGGAAATACATAGTAACATTTGATGTGTTTCTAATAAATTGTAATAACATGCAGCATATAATATATAATCAGAAATATTTTTTTCAATCAACAATATGTGTTTGTTTTATGTGTCCGTGTTACTATGTAGATATCTGGTTCATTTCTTTCCATTGCAATTTAGTTTTCCATTGTATGAATATACTGCATTTTATTTTTCTGGTCTCCTTTGGCTGGACAGCTAAATTGTTTCCAATCTTTTGGTATTTACTAACAATTCTGTAATGAACATCTTTTGACATGTCCCTTTGTTCATGTGTTTGAGTTTTTCTCTAGGATAATAAAAAGTGGAATTACTGAGTATGTTGCCCATTATTTTAATTTTTGTAACCCAAGAAATATATGCATATAGTTTAGAATTCATATAGCTCTACAAAGGAAAGTATATGAAAAACAGCAGTCCCCAATGACCCTCCACCCTTTCTTTCTGCCCCGAGGCAACAACTTTCAAGTCTTGCTGATTCTTTTGGTACTTACCTCCAGATTTCTAAGTAACACACTTATGTTGCTACTTCTTGATTTTTTTGTCCAATTTAGGCACAATCTCTGGCTTCCCGAAATACAAAATAAGAACTTAGCTCTCCCCCTTGCTGCCATCACACACATGCAAACTTTCTCCCAGTAGCAATCAATCATAATTTGAGTTTTATCTATAGACAGCATTTGCCTTCTTGTAACTATACAAATACTTTTTACAGAGAAGCCGTTTCGTATACAATAATAATTTTTCCTTCTCTGGATGCTAGCCTGGGAGGTGACATTTTTCTTAATAAATCCTTTCAGCAGACACGTCTAGATGGAAGCTTCTTCTTGCTTCTTGTGCAGCACATTGAGGCTGGTCACTGGGAGATAGGTGCACAGACAGCCGCGTCATGAGGGAGTGCACAGTTAAGCAGAGGTGAAATGGTTTGGGTATGAATAATGCATGGAAAGACCCCCAAAACCTTTTCCCAGGTCACACACTGATCCCTTCCTAGCCCCTGAAAAGTTTGTTTTTCTCATTTGCTCTTCATTTTTCACCGAGAATGCTGCCCTGCTGACTTCCAGCCAGGACCTGCAGTGTTCAGCTTTGGCTCTGGGGTCCTGATGAGGTGTTGTGCCTCATGGTTGTGTTCCCGGCCTGATTCTTCACAGTTGTGTGTGTGAAGCTGAGATCACCAGCTGCAATTTTTTTAAAATTTTTTTTAAGGGTCAAGAAGGGTTTCTGTCATTAATTATTTATTTTTACAATAGAAGTGATACAGCCTCTCAGTGAAAAATTCAAACAGAAAAAATTCAAACAAGGTGCCACTGTCTCCTCTCCTGTCCCCGGCCCCTCAAGTCCTCCTCAGAAGCAGCGTTGCTCTGGAACCAGACTACCTGGATTCAAATCCCAGCACTTGTTAGCTTGTGTGGCCTTAAACAAGTTATCTAACCTTTGTGTGCCTCAGTTTTCTAGTCTGTAAAATGGGAAAATAATAGTGCTCACCTCACAGAGCTTTGTGGGGATTAAATGAGTTAATACTTGTAAAGTGGCACAGAGAAAGCACTTAAGAGATATTAGCCAGGAATATCACTAACAGTGTGTTGTATATCCTTTCAGACCAGTGGTTCTTAACCTTGGCTGCACATTGGAATCAAGCTGGGGAACTTTGCACGTCCTGGTGCCTGGACCCCACTCTCAGCAATTCTGATTTTATTGGTCCAGGAGAAGCCTGGGCAGGATTTTTAAATGCTCCCCAGAGCACTATAGTGCACAGCCAGAGCTAAAAACCATCATGTGACCTATGTTCCACATGTATCAGTTAGGATAGGTGAGGGTATGATGCAGTAACAAACATCCCCCAAATCTCATCTACTTCTCAGTCTATTTCTCATGTATGGTACATGTACTTTGTGGTCAGCTGCACCTCTGATCTACATCATCTTTACTCTGAAATCCAGGCTAGTAATAATAATCTAGTATAGCTTTTTGTTTGTTTTGTTTTGTGGGTGTGTTTTTTGTGGCTAGCCTGTACAGGAATCTGAACTTTGGTGTTGTAAGGTTGTGCTCTACTGAGCTAACCAGCCAGCCAATAGAATAGCTTTTATCCAGAATATTTACCATCTTGTGAAGTGGGAAAAGAGAGCATGGGGAACTCTGACCAGAAGCAAAACATAACTTTCACCCATGTATCTTTGACCAAAGCAAGTCCTATGGTCATACCTGAGTTCAACAGTGAGGGTATATCAGGAGCTGGCACTTTTTCTGCAAAGGGCCAGACAGTAAGTATTTTAGGCTTCATGGAACATACACAGATACTTCAAAAGTTCATGGAAAAATAGAATTAAAAGAATACAAATCTTTCCATGAAGTTTTTGTAGGCCTCTCTTATGGTCTCTGCAGCAATTACTCACCTCTGCCTTTCTAGTGCAAAAGCAACCATAGATAATACAAAGTTTTTTTAAAAAAGGCAAAAATTCCTAATTCATGAGCCATACAAAAACAGACAGCGTGCCAGATGTGGCCTGGAGGCTATAGGCTGCCAACCCATCATATCTCATCCTCCTGCAGGGAGAAGCACCTCAGGGAGGGACCCCAAATACAGGTGAACGGCAATACAGTCTAACATGCTTTGTTTATGGGGGTGGGGGAGGGAGACAATAGGACTTTTATTGCACAATTGTGTTTCACACAATTATCCTATGATACAACTTGCTTTTGTTACTTAATACTATAGTTTTTTAAAACTGTATTTCTTGATGATAGTTTTATATTAGCAGCTCTAGCGTTACTTCATTTGCCATCTAGTTTCCCCTGGCATGGAGGTACCATAGTGGGTTTTTGTTTGTGTGTTTGTTTTTATAATTAATCCTGAATTATTAGATAACAGTGATTTTTAAAGTGTCAGGAGGAGTAAGGCAGCATGCATAGAGAGATCACTGGAAAGAGAACCGACATCCCAGCTCTCCCAGTGGTTTATAGTTTATGCTACTTTCCCTGAAATCTTCCAAGCCTCCCTAAAAACAAAAACGTGGTGAAGGCACCCCCTGAAAACATATTTTCCAAGAGGTCCTCTTTTATTAGGGCCATTTCTATAATAACGGTCTTTGCAACACTGAATACAGCTGCAATTCCAGGGGCATTTTCCAGGAGATTGAAATACTGAATAGGGTAAATATAAATGGTGGGAAAACTAGAAAACTGGCCCCACACAGAGACACATTTCAGGCTGCTCATGAGCCGTGCAGACGAGAAAACCCCAGAACTGCCTTCCAGAGGTGGGACAGGAGGGACAAGGAGGTTGAGATGACAAAGGCTGCACTCGCATGTGACTTTCCCCTTCTCTTTCCAACAGGACACCACAACGTCTGTGCGCATCGGCCTGATGATGGAGGAGATGATCTTCAACCTTGCAGATACACATCTGTTCTTCAATGACCTGGAGGTTTGCGGTTGCTGGTTTCATTTAATATTTGCCATATTTAATCACCTGCATCTGGTTTGGGGTGGGGGGTGGGGGACTGCCTTTCCTTTCTTTCTTTTTCTTTTAGAGTCTTGAAACTTTTGCTAGCATCCCCCAAGAAGGCACAAAACTGTGGCCAGTGACAGTTTATTGGAAACACACTTGGCCAGATTATCTCCCTTGTTTTCCTGTGCAGTTAATGGGCTTTTCTCTCTGCTCTAGTGGTGATGTCCACTGGCAGTTTTACTAATCCAATAAAGGCTATGTAGTTTCTTCCTCCTGAAATTTGCTATTTAATAAGTTTATTAAAGCAAATTAGTGCAGATCCTCCTGGGTCAGTAATAATTAGCAGTGGGCCAGTATGGGAGCTTTTAAAAACAATTTACATTCCCCTGAAAGCATGTTTTACAAAGAGAGAGAGCGAGCAGAGGGAATATGCTTATTTAAAGTATCTGCTCCCAAGCCCCTAAGCAAGATGCAAGGAAAAGGGGGGAGAGATTCAGAAATCAATTTAATTCATTTGTTTATACCCAGCCTGTGTTGGAAAGATTCAGGAAGGATTTCAAATGGAAAACATCCTTAAAATAGAACTATTATGGCAAAGGCAAAGGGATAAAAAATTATGTAATGAATAAGGGTTAGGAATTATACCAAAAAAATCCAGGCTCAGGCTAACTACTACAGTCAAGTTCAGAGTGAATCAATGAGCTTCCTAGTAGCCAAAGCAAAAAAGGGAATACAATGAGTTACTTCCCTCTAATGAAAGAGCAAGCAACTTTCTCCAAGGTGAAGAAGGGTTTTTGGCTAATAAAATAATTAGTGTGGGGATCTTCTGGCTTTGTAAATTATATTTGCATTATTGGTTCAACAGATTGAAAAAGGCAACCTAAATAAAGCTGTATGTGAAAGAACATCCCTATTTATCCTAGTAGGAATATTTTTTTCTCAGCATCTAAAAATTCCTAGGGACTAAACTGTGAGGTAGAAATATAAAGGCTATGGATTCCAAATCTGCTGTTTATTATGCATTTAGTGTTTCAAGATATTCAGTTAATTGCCTTTTTGCCCGTGTATATTATGTGGTCTATTTGCAATTGTTTTTTTAAATGACATTAAAATAGTAGTTTATGTCGAGAAACATTAGTGGATGTGAATTGTCTCCCCACCTGTATTTATGGGTGTTGGTTCAGCTGCTTTGCTAGTTGCAAAGCCATGTTATCAGAGCGAAAGTGTATTTGCAAACTGTATGGGAACTAGAAACTAGGAATAAAACCATTTTCTTTAAAAAAAAAAAAAAAATCTGTTCAGGCTAGCCCAGGGTACTACTAATATTTATCATCAGGAGAGGAAAGGATTCAGGTTTTTCATTCTGGTCTGCAGGTCTAGAGTTCCAGAGAGGGAAATCCTTGTTGAAATGATCAGTCTGTGTTCTGCCCAGTCTATGCAAGCCACTTGAGCCTCAGTCCTCCCATCTATAAAATGGAATTGATGTTCTCTGCCCAAAAGCAGTTTCAAAGAGAGCATTTAGGTAGAAACTTGTTGAGGAAGAAAGAGAGCTTTGGAACAGTGGAGAATACTTCCGTCAACAAGGCCCAGGGCTGTCTTTTCAGCCAAATGCAGTGTGCAGGCTCCCTTTACAATGACCTCTGAAGACTTGGGGGAAAGAGAAATGGGAGAGAAAGAGAGAACAAGAAAGAGAGGACTTATGAGTTCAAAATGAAAACAAAAAGAAACCCATGGCAATTGAATTCAGCAAGTATTTACAGAGCCTAATATAGTACAGGAATGATTCAGCTGATCACAAATATCAAAACCCAACTTAATGTAGCAAAAAATGGAAATTATTGGCCCTTGTAGTTGAAAAGGCCAGGGTAGGTTTAGTTCTTGCCTGTCTCCCCCATAGACTGTCAGTTTGATGAGAGTAGGGACCACTCTGTCTGGTTCACCCTAAATCCCCAAGGCCCAGGCTGTAAACAACCAAACAAGTTCATAAACAAGATAGTTCATGCTAATGAAAATGATGTGAAGAAATAAAACAATCAGATGTGAGAGCAAGTGATTACCTGGATAGAGGAGGAGGGAAGGCCTTTTCAGGAGGCAACTCAAGCTGAGTGATGACAAGGACCTGGCCAGGGGGAAATCTGGGGAGGTAAGTGCAAAGGCCCTGGGGTGAGGCAAGCATGAAATAATCTGGGATCAAAGAGAAGGCCACAGTGGCCCTAGTACAGTAGTAAAAGTACAGGATAGATGAGTCCGGAGAGGGAGATGTCATAGAAACCAGAGTTTATTCTAAGTGCTGTGGACAGCCATGGGGCAAGGGGTCATTAAGCAGGAAAAGCCACATGGTCTGGTTTGTGTGTTAAAAAGACCACTCTGGCTACTGCATGGAGAATGGGCAACAGGAGGGGAAAGGTGGAGGCAGGGAGATCAGCAAAGAGGCTACTGCAATGGTCCAAGCAAGGAAGAAGAATGGGCTGGATCTAGTGAAAGAAGATGCAGGCTTTGGGATGCAGGTAAAACCATGCAGACTTGCTGATAGATCAGACATGGGGGATGAAGGAAAGGCGGCAAGGACTCCAGGGCGTGGCCCATCTACTGAGATGGACAAAACAAGGAAGGTGTGATATGCAGTGGGGGGATTCGTCCTTCTGTCTTGGGCACATGGGCTTTGAGATGTCTGCAACACCCAAGTAAAGATACCAAATCTGCCAGTGGATAGACCAGTTTGAAGCTCCAATGCAGTAAAAGCAGACATGTACATAGTAGGCGCTTTGTCGATCTTGGTTAAACCTGCTGCTCAGAGCCAGGTATTTTGCAGGATTTGGTGTTTCAAGCCAGTGTCTTCAGTCTCGCCACTTCTGCTGCTTCTCTCTGGCATCCAAAGTCGAAGTTGCACCTCTTAAAGGAGGATCTTAATTACCAGCTGGAGCTACTCAGGGAAGCCAGTTTGTTTTTATTTTCTAAATTTTTTTCAAAAATGTCCCTAATGCCAGGAGCCCCCAGGGCAACTCAGCAGAATTAAAACCATGTTACATGATGGAGAAGTTACAACTCACACAAGTGAAAACATATTGTTTGTTGGTGCAAGGCAGCCCCTGTCAAAATCTAAAGAGCAGCCGCCTGTACCTCCCCAGGGAGGCCGCGTGGAACCAGGGAGGGGAGCCGCCTGCAGGAGGCCAGCTCAGGGCCCGCTCCTGCATGAGTGATCGGGCTTAGGGACTAAAGTCAGATCTCTGTACATAAGGGGTTTCGTTTCTGTGTCCAGCAGCTCTTCATGTAGAACTTACTGCTTGCCAGGCCCTTGTCTAACTGCTATGAATTCAGCAGCAAACAGTGCTCTCTGGGTATTGACCTTCCAGTTGAGAGGCAGACAGACCATAAACGCCTGAATATATAATAAAATGTTAGGTAAAGCACTCTGAAGAGAGCCCAGGAGAGTCAGGGAGGAGGCTGTCACAGGGGTTCTTATTTTCCTGGTATAACCAGATCTGACATTTCAGTAGAGACCCAAAGCAGGTGAGGAAGGGGGCCTTGTGGGAAGAGTGTTCCAGACAGAAGGAGCAGCAGTGCAAAGGCCCTGGGGCATGGTCAAGGTTAGCAGTTTCCAGGAACAAGGAGGACGCCAGTGCAGCTGGAGGGAAGGGCGCAGGAAGGACTGTGGAGGGCAGAGGGGGGTTGGGTCACGGTAAGGCTTTTAGACAATATCTGAGGGTTTTGAGCAGGGAAGTGGCAAGACATGGCTTACAGTTCAGAGGCTCCCTCTGGCTGCCGGTTGGAGAACAGACCACAGGGGCGATGGGGGAAGCAGGTGTCCGCATTAGATCAGTGGTTCCCAGACTCCCAGGTGAGAGAATCCGTGAGGCCTAAGGACTGTCAGGGACATGGGAGGTGCTGAGCTCGCCATATCTCAGGATACTGGGGATGTGTGCCCTGAGTGTAGAGCAAGAGCCTCCTAATCAGTTCGATCTGCCTTTGAGTCTTGGCTCCACCATCTTTTGTCTGTGTCACCTGGGTAAGTCTCACCATCTCCTTGAGCCTCAGTTTTCTTGTCTGTTAAATGGGTGGAAGAAAAGCCCCAACCTCACAGGGTTTAACGATGAAGGGAGATTTGTGAAGGCCATTGGCACCGAGCCTGGCACACTCCATGCCCAACACATGAGCCTTTCCACCAGAGGGCTGCATGTGCCCCGGGGCTGCACAAGGGGAGTTCACATGGTACCAGGGCAACTTCTTTAATTGTGAGATATTCACGTTACTATGTGTTAGAAAATACTATGAGTTAGAAAAATATGACTAGCTTGCCCAACCCCTGATTTTACAATAGCCTAGTAACAGTACAGGCGACACAGGGACATGGCAAAGATTATAATGGCGGGGAACAGCCTAGCCCCAAATCGCAGCCGATTGCAGGAGTTTGCGTAAATATCAACAACCACCTCCCCCATTCCCTGCCAACTTGTCTCTGCAAGAGCTGCTGATTTTGTGGTAAAACCCAGGGCAGGGGACCCTCACCTGAAATGTCAGCTGGGTCATGGGGTGAGGATGGAGGCTTGGTTGAAACTCACACGCCTCCTGCTTGAGATCTGTCAAAACCATCCTCAGGCCTTACTGAATGCACTCGCTTTGAGAGCCCCTTGTGGGAAGCCTCCTAATCCCCGGCTTCCCAGGGACAGGGACGTGCCACCACCAGAACCAGTGCTGGACCTAGGTCTGTGGGTTTCGACGTCTGGGCTCCAGGTGCAGCCGGAGAGAGATTCACTCTGCACGGTCCCCGCATGAAGCAGGGAATGGAGAAGGCCTGGCGGGTTCCTGCTTCCGTCTCAGCCCCGTTTCGCCCTGCCGGCCCCTCCTGCCCATCTGTTCCTTCCTCTCACCTTCCTTCCTGCCCACCTCTTCCTTTTTTCTTCCTTCCATCCTTTCTTCCTTTGGTTTATACATCCTTTCATCGCTCCCTCCATCCATCCACCTGTATATCCAGTCTA